GCATGGTGCCCTCCGCTACTCTGGGACTGTCTCGCTCTGTCCTTTGTGTGGTGGCGAAGGTCACTCTAAGTCGGAGTGCACTTCTCCCCAGGCTCGCTGCCTCAACTGCGGTGAGGCCCATCCTGCCTTCTCCCGTGCGTGTGTCCATATCAAGCTTGAGGCAGCCGTCCTCAACCTGAAGCACCGGGAGCGTTTATCTTTTCCTGAGGCGAGACGCCAGGTTCGCCGGCTCCCGCCTTATGCTAATATCCCTTATGCTCGCGTGTTGCGCTCTTCCTCTCCTCGTCCTTCCCGCCTTCCTCAGACTCACAACCGTTTCCGGGCCTTGGACCCTGATACGCCCACTGCCCCTTCCTCTGTTCCTTTGGGTTCTCTCCCGAAGGACCCTCCTCCTGGTCCTCTGTCTGGGGTTCCCCTTCCTTCTACCCGGTCTGCCGTGTCTCCTGTGTCTTCTTCCTCGTCTCCCTCCGTTCCTCCTTCCCATCCTTCCCCTCCGTCTCTTGACTCTCCCCGCCGCCTGTCGGTGCGGGCTGATGTCCATCGCTCTCCAAACGGCCGTCATGTGTGCTCTCGTTCAGCTTCTCCTGTTGAGACGCTAGAATCCGTTGCCCAGTACGTGGTTGCTGGAACACCTGTCTCTTTACGTCAGAAGCGTAAACCTGGCTCCTCTCCTTCCTCCTCCCCGGCGGGTAAGAAGGTTTCGCTTTCTTCCTCGGCCCCTACTTCTGCCTCTCTCGCTCCTTCCCCTCCCATTTCGGCGGTTGCGCCCCCTGTTCCTGCTATGGAGGTTTCTTTAGCCCCCGCTTCCCTCTCAGTTGCTGCCCTTGCTGAGGTACGCTCCCCTCTTTCTACCCCTCCTCTTCCTGCTGCTGTCCTTGCCTGCTCCTCTCCGTTAATTGTCTCCTCCTCTTCCTCCTCCTCCGGACCCCGCCCGCCCACCTCTGATCTGTTCTCCCGTTTCCTTCCCTCCGTCTTTGCTCAGTTTACCCATGCCCCCTAACCCTGACTTTGCTGACCCTGATCCCGACCCTGATATTCTTTAACGTGCTCTGTTGCTCTTTCGCCTTTGTTTCTTCCTTGTTCTCTGTTTTTGTCCTTTCTCTTCTCGTCGTTGTCCATTCTTCAATGGAACGTTCGAGGTTATTACGCTAATTTCCTCGAACTCCAACTTCTGATTTCGCGGGTTTCGCTCCTTTGTGTCTGTCTCCAGGAGCCGATGCTTGGTGCTCGTCCTGGTCGTTTTCGTGGCTATTTCTTTCTCTCCCCCCCCCCCAGCTGTTGCTGGGGCTTCTAATTCTTCTGCTCTTTTGACTCGTGCTGACGTTCCCTTTGTTCCTTTACTTTTTCCTTCACCTCTCCATTGTTCTGCTGCTCGTGTCTTTGTGGGGAAATGGTACACTGTTCCATTTATCTCCCCCAGAGTGTCCCGCTTTCTCTTCCTGATTTGAAACGCCTCCTAGACTCCTTGCCGGAGCCTGTGCTCCTGCTGGGTGACTTCAATTGTCGTCATTCTCTTTGGGGTGACGTTTTGACGAATACCCGGGGTCGCCTTCTTGAGCCGTTTCTCCTCTCTTCTTCCCTGTCTCTTCTGAATTCTGGTGAGCCCACTCATTTGGACTCTCAGACTCGCACCCTTTCTTGTCTTGATCTTTCTCTCTGCTCTTCTTCTCTTTACTTAGATTTCACGTGGCAGGTTCTTGATGACCTCCATGGAAGTGATCATTTCCCCATCCTTGTTTCCTTTTTCTCTTTTCGCCCTTCCCTCTCTTTCCCTAGGTGGCAGTTTGCTAAGGCGGACTGGACCCTATTTTCCCTCAGTGCTACTCTCTCTGACCTCTCCCTTCTGCCTCTCTTTCGCGCTCTCCTCCTTTTTCATGACATGTCTTCAACGCTGCCCTCCGCTCTATCCCTCGCTCTTCCTCCCGGGGTCCACGGAAGTGCGTTCCCTGGTGGAATGCGGACTGTGCTCGGGCTGTCCGCTGTAAGCGTGCAGCCTGGAAGAGGCACCGCCGTAGGCAGACGACCGATTCTTTTCTTTTCTTTCGGAAAGCGAGTGCGGTGGCCCGTAGAGCCATCCGTACGGCTAAACGTGAATGTTGGGCATCTTATGTCTCAACAATTACGTCCGAAACCCCTCTGGCCCAGATCTGGAAGCGTATCCGCAAGATAGCGGGTAAGTTCGTTCCCGATGTTTCACCGGTCCTTCACCTCCATGATACTCTTGTGGCGGACCCGTTGCAGGTCGCTTCCGAACTGGGTTCCCACTTTTCTTCTGTTAGCTCTGGTCTTCATCTTCCCCAATCTTTCCTTCTTCATAAACCTGTCCTTGAGTCTCGTCCTTTAGATTTCTGCACTCATCTTCAGCTTCCCTATAATGATCCCTTCTCTCTCTCTGAACTTCGTTCTGCCCTGGCCCTCTGCGGTTCTACGGCGGCGGGCTCCGATGGTATTCATTATGAGATGCTTCGCCATCTCCCTCCGAGCACATGTCATTATTTACTGAGTGTATAATCGGATCTGGGAGTCGTCGTCAGTCCCTGAGGACTGGCTCGATGCCGTTGTCCTCCCTGTTCGCAAACCGGGGTCTCTGGGTACTTCCCCTAAGGACTTTCGCCCTATTGCTCTCACAAGTTGTGTCTGCAAACTCTTTGAACGTATGGTTAACGTTCGTCTGATGTGGTTCCTGGAACACCATCACCTCCTCTCCCCTTCTCAATTTGGTTTCCGCAAGTGCCGCAGCACGACAGATGTCCTGGTGAACTTGGAGGTCTATATTCGTACTGCTTTTGCTGCGAAGACCTCCGTTGTTGCCGTCCTTTTTGACCTGGAAAAGGCTTACGACACCACTTGGCGTTGTCATATCCTATCTCAACTTCATTCTTTTGGCCTTCGTGGTCATCTCCCTCTTTCTCTGCAGCTTCCTTTCTCGTCGTTCCTTTCGGGTGCGCCTTGGTACCGCTCTCTCTCCCTCTTTTCAGCAATACGAAGGTGTGCCCCAGGGTAGTGTTCTGAGCACTACTCTTTTTCTGGTTGCCCTCAATGGTCTTCTTTCCTCTCTTCCTTCTGGTGTCTTCTCCGCTCTCTATGTCGATGATCTTACCCTTTGTTGTCAGGGTGATGATTCGCCTCTCCTTCAACTTGCAATTGATGCCGTGTCGTCTTGGGCCACAGATCATGGCTTCAAGTTCTCTACTTCTAAGACTTGTGCCATGACTTTTACGCGGAAACGGGTTGTTCTTCGTCCCTCTTTGTCCCTTTATGGTCATCCCCTTGAATACAAAGATTCCGCGAAGCTTTTGGGGTTATTCCTTGACACACTTTTGTCTTGGTCTCCCCATATCTCTTACCTCCGTTTTGAGTGCTCTAAGGCCCTTACCCTCCTTCGGGTCTTGTCCCATACTTCTTGGGGGGCAGATAGGCGCACTCGCCTTGCTTTACATTCCTCTCTCGTCCTGTCTAAGCTCGATTATGGTTGCCCTGCTTACTCGTCTGCTTCTCCTTCTACTCTTCGCCGTCTTGATGCTTTGCACCATACTGGGTTGCGCCTCAGTTCTGGTGCCTTTCGTTCGACTCCTATCCTTAGCTTGTATGTTGACACTGGCTTCCTGTCTCTCCAGGACCGCCGTGATCGCTACTGTCTTCGCTATCTTGCGCGGTCCTTGCAACATCCTTCCTCTCGCCTCTGTCGTGCTTTAACTTTTACCCCTCCTGCGGTTCCTGTTCCTCTTCACCACCTCCCTCTTTCTGTCCGGTTATCTCGCCTACAGGATTCTCTTTCCGTTCGTATTTCTGATGTTTCTCCTCGTGTTGTTCCTTCTTTGCCCCCGTGGAGGGTCACTCTTCTGCGGTTTTGTACATCCTTGACCCGTATCACTAAAGCTTTTACCCCTCCTACGGTTCTAAAACGCCTTTTCCTCGAGCACTTTTCTTCTCACTCCCGCTCCGTTTGTCTTCACCGATGGATCTAAGTCAGCGGACGGTGTTGGCTTCTCTGTTGTTTTTCCTGATCGCACTTATATGTGTCGCTTGCCTCCAGAGACTAGCATCTTTACAGCGGAACTTTATGCTATTCTCTATGCTCTTCGTCTCCTGCTTTCTCGTTGTCAGTCTTCCTTTGTAGTTGCTGTTGACTCTCGTAGTGCCTTCATGGCTCTCGGGTCCTTTAATCTGGTTCATCCAGTAGTTGTCGAGATCCAGCATTGGCTGTTTCTCGTTCACAGTAAATTTAAGTCGGTTGAGTTTTGTTGGGTTCCCAGCCATATTGGTGTGTCTTTAAATGAGCGTGCGGATGCTGCCGCCAAGGAAGCTGTCCGCTCTTGTCCCATCTCTCGTACAGGCATTCCGTATTCCGACTTTTACCCGGTTATCCATTCCTCAGTCCTTACCCGTTGGCAGGCTTCTTGGTTCTGTTACTGGTAACAATCTACGTACTCTTAAATGTTGTGTTTCCTCGTGGCCGTCCTCCTTCCACCGTAACCGGCGGTGGGAAACAGCTCTAGCGAGGTTGCGTATTGGCCATACTCGCTTAACCCATGGTCACTTGATGGAGCGCCGCCCTGCTCCTTATTGTCCTAGTTGCATTGTCCCTCTTACGGTCGTGCATGTCCTTCTTGAATGTCCTGACTTCCAGGACGAGTGTGTGTCTTGCTTTCCGACCGCCCCTCGCGGTCACCTGTCCCTCGATAGAATTCTTGGTGACTCGGATACTTTTGATATCGTTTGCCTTATGCGTTTTTGTTCTCGTATTGGCATCCTTGGTGATATTTAGCACCCTCTGATTATTTTGCGTATTTGATGGTGCTACATAGCCTTCCCGGTTTGGTGCCTTCTTTTGATAATTACTTACTTACTTATGGCAGAATTATCACGAGCTTCCCTTTAAGTCGGGTGGGTCCATGCGCGTAACACTAGTCTGTAGTTACAGCAAGTGTGGTTTGTTATTCAGCTAGAAGGAACATTTACATTCTAAATTAGGTTCTCTAAATATTAAAATATGAGGATGTAAAGCAGCTTTTATTGTACATAAATTCTTTATTTCATTATGTAATATTTATGTGCATATGCACAGTTACAACTCTCGCATTTATTTTTATAAAACCTTGAGGCAAAATCAGTTGCATCCAGAGCTACTGCTAAGCATCCTAACAGTTCTAAGCTTCGTAAACTGCCATTTCAGAGTTTAATTTCTTTACATCTATTACTGTATTTGCATTCACCTTATATGAGAGAATTAACATCATAACACCAATAACAGTACAGTACCTGTATATAGCAATCACTGGCCCCTCGTGAAAAAAAATGGCTTAAATACTTTTAAAAAAGTGATGTAAACTTGCAAAGACATTTATGCCTCCAGTATCATCTAATTTCTTAAATTTAAATATCATGCAATAATCTTGGCAAACATTTGTTACATAAACTGGCTTTTATGAATCTGCAGCACACACTGCAATTTAAATGTCAGGTCTTCTTCAGGATTGTTCAACACAGAATTTTAAACATTATACGCTATTTTAGTTCCCGTCAAAAGGCTTTGGGAAATTTCCATGTTTGTAGGTGAAGCTCTATGAATAATCTTCCTCAGACATTTCCAATACCTACAAGTGATACATTCTTGGAGGAAAACCTGTAATATTTGTCGGGGTAATCTGTGCTGCTGTAGGTATCATTAAAGTGAAGCAGTCACCATCTGCGTGCAATGAAATATGACTATGAGAGAATGAAGACCCTCAACAAACATATGCAAGTCAAAAAAAATAAAATGCAAGACAGCTAAAAGGAAACAAAGAATGGAAAAAGTCAAAGAAAAAGTGAAGTCAAGTCATTATCAAAAGATATCAAGCTCGGAAGACTATACTGTATAGCAATGACTGGGCTACAATGGATCTAAAATGGAGCAGCGATCAAGTGGCAGTGTAGAGCGTAGCCAAAGTAAAGAAAGACCCAATGAAGGGAAACAGAGTAGCCTCCTTGTTATATCCCCTACGATAGTGCTTACATGGCCAACTGGTCTTCCTACCCGATCTCATAATCTAATATGACCGGCCATATCAAAAGTAAAACAAATGGCACAGTACAGACCATCTTAAAGAACTGGTATGAACCACTGGAAAGCCACAAAGAGGATATAAAGGACAAGAACAAATAGCTAAACAACAGCACATATGTTTAGTCTAACAATGTTGATAAAGCATCTCTCTTAAAGCATCAGGTGACTAGAGTCACAGCCTTGCTCACTAAAATATCCCTCACAAAGTATGAGAGTAAATAGTATAAAGAAGGAAAGAGCACAAGTCAATGCCAAATCAAACCTTGTTTAGCTTGCAATGCTTGAATGGAACATACTTATGATAGTTAACTCTATAGATACTGTATATTCTGTAGTACAAAGGAAGATAGTGACCCGTTTACAGACCCTGAATGTCACGGTAAATCCACTATGCTATTTTCTCTTGGCTACATTATATATATTTCTATTATGAAATATGTTTTAGACAACCAGTCATTACAAAATCAAAATGGATTTATTGAATTATACATCTTTGTCTTGCACATAGCAGGGAAGCTGCAAGAGAAACTCCAATATTAAATAATTCAAACAATTTACTGGATAGGCAAGAAAATACTGTACAATATTGAACATAATAATGTAAGTGAACTTTCTTATGAAGACCTTGCAAACTTACCTGCTTGTGGCATCAAAATGATTATATTCTGTGCTGTACTATGTAAATCTTTGCAAATCATGTACTGTATTGTCAAATTGATAAACTGACAAAAGAAACGATAAATATCTATACCATTTAAACTGGCCATACCAGAGCATTTATATAACCTTAGACACTAATGCTCTTGATGCTAATTTGAGAGCAAATTAACTAAAATTCACTTCAATACTCTTCATAAATAATATTTGCATTCACATACAGAATAAATCTGTGCACTTGTCAACACACATTCAGCTAGTAAATAGTGCACTACAGTATATAAGAGCAAATACAAAGCTTAAGTTACTCTAACTTACTGATCTTGCACTTCTCTCATTCATAAATCCCAGCTTTTCCCATGAAAGAAAACAGTGACTCTTCAAAAACAGTACAATATAACAATAATTATGAAAAAAGCAATGCAAATTGCCTTACTATGTACATAAACTGTGTACATTACTAAACTAATGTCTCATTGTGAAAATCAGATGGTATACATTTCTAGTTAAAAAAAAAAAAGTTTATACTTCTGTTAAAATCATCACAAATATAGTAGACATTTGGTATTAGCATTTTAATCTCGTGGTATCTGTCTTATTATAGAAAATAAGAATGATAACATCCATTGTCACCAATTGAGTTACCTCAAAAATGTGTGATGCTTCATCCTGTGATCAATATGACTTTTAGTCTTCTCATATATAATTGCACAATTGTAATATTTAAGAATCTGATATTCATTTGTCAGTTTCTTCTGGTCCAGCTTGAGTCATCAAGTCAGCAATGTTTCGCTCCAGGTCATCAATGCGAGTCCCCATCTCATCTAGTATGTTTGAATTAAGGAAAATGCATTTGACATTTCACAAATAGAGTGGTAAATGGTTGGAACAAATTAAGTGAAAAGGTGGTGGAGGCCAAAACTGTCAGTAGTTTCAAAGTGTTATACGACAAAGAGTACTGGGAAGAAGGGACACCACGAGCGTAGCTCTCATCCTGTAACTACAGATAGGTAATTACACCATATCCTAAATAATACATCACAGCAACTCTGAGAACAGAAAATGTGCAACTCATATTTTCTCTAGAATCTCTAAAAGTTTACTTTGACAAAGTATTGATAAAAGGAGATACAAAACACCAGCGTTGAATGTAATGAAACGCCATTTTCTGGGTGAGACCCAGAGGCTCCCCGGAGCTTTACCAGGCTGATATGCTAATGTCAGACTTTGGCATCAGTCATGTGTATGGAGTTCTAGGGCCTACCAAGGACCATGGCCAGAACCTGGCCCCCTCAGAGAAGCAAGGGGAGCAATGGCCTATAGAAACCCCCGTGTGGTAGGAAGCATTCTATGTCTGCCATCGACCGGGTCAAGCATCCAGAAAGGTAAGCATTCCAAAACAAACCCCTATTCTGGTGAAAATTGCTACCTAAAGCCGAACTAGTGGATAGAACTCTTCAACAGAAAACAAGGAAACTAGTATGACGTCATACGTCACCGCGCTGCTGTCTGCGCAGCTCCCCCCTCCCCGGGAGGGGGAAGGGGGAGCCCCAGACCTCCCACGCCGGCTATCCACCCATCAGTTCTGAGGCTGGATGTCAAAACACGCAAAAAACCGCCGACCGGAGGGAGGGGAGGGTTGCCAGGGAGCCTCCGGGTCTCGCCCAGAAAATGGCGTTTCATTACATTCAACGCTGGTTTTCTGGGGGGAGAGTCCCGTCGGCTCCTCGGAGCTAACTACCCACAGAGGAAGGTCAAAGGGACAGAACCGGGAGGCGGACACCACGCAACCCCCACGGAAGTGAGACAACCGGCAGCAAACGCCAACCCAAGGCGCCACAGCCCCGAAAAGTCCCGGGAACAACACGAGAACAACGAGCAGCAAGGCCCCCGCACGAACACCAAAAATCCATGCCCGAAAGACCGCAAGGCCACGTCGCCCAGACGGCAGTGAGAGCAGCGAAGTCACGAACGCCACGGGCATGAGGGAAGAACACAGGCAGCTTAGCCGCAAGAACACAGCTGACCACCCGGGACACCATCACCCGCAAACCGGGAAGAACAGAATCGGATGAACGCAAAACGCGCTCCGGACCCAAACGCCGTGGCACGCAAACAACAGCGGAGGGCTGCCACGGAACAAAACATGACACACCCCCGGCCCGACCAACGAAGCACCAACAAATCCTGGACCCCTCCAGAACGCAGCAGCCCCACCCCGCGCCAGAAAAGATGGAGATTGCTGCCACCGAACAACGAAAACGCTAAAACCGAAGGAGCAAGAAAACTCAGCGACTTGACCCCCAGAGGCAAAGGCCAAAAGGAAAGAGCCGACAAAAAAACACACCGGAACCGAAGGGGCACTACCAACCGAGGAGAAGACAGCACGCTGACCAGAGACCAGGATGGTGCAAGCGGCGCACAAACAGGCCGGAGGTGATACGACGCACGAGACAGCTTACTAACGATGCAGAAGCAACACCAAGACCGAAAGCAAGCTGAAGCAGCTCCGCCAGCGCCGCACGAAAAGAGGCGACAGTATGTGGCAAGACGACGGCCCCCAACCCCCACCAGAAAACCAAGCCAAGAGTAACCAAGCTAACAAGAGTAACCACCTAAGAAGGGACAGGAAAAGGAAGGACTGCCAAAATACCCCATACTGCCGCCAAGAGAAGCACGCAGGTGGGACACCTACCACGAAGCCACCCGACCACCAACCGGAGGCGAGACCGCGAGGCAGAACATAAGCAGCCCCGACAAGGCCCCTCCGAGCCCAGGAAAAGGCGGAGCTGCGGGAAGATCTCGAGCGCAACCACCGAAAACCAGGCGGCACAAGGAGATGGAACGTCTGCCGAACAGAAAAACTCTCCAAAGCATGCAAGCCCGCCAGGAGTTCAGAAACGATGGGTCCGACGCGAGACATCGCAAGACCCCCCCCCCCAAAAAAAACGGCAGGGCAACCAAAGAAGGCGGAAGGGTCGCCGCCAGAACAGTACCCGAACCAAGGGGTACGAACAACTGCAATAGTCCGAGACAAAGAAGCACATCACAGGACACAGGATGAGAAACGCCTAAGAACACACGCAGAACACCCCTGCTGCAGAGGAGGCAGGAAGAAAGAGCAGAAGCACAAAAACCCCAGGAAAACAACTAGGGGTGGACAATCAGGCAGGGACAGAAAAACCCCCACGCAATCCCCAGGCACAAAACAGCAGCAAAGTGCCACACCACAACCGGACACAGGAACAAGGACACGCCACCGTGAAACATGGTACCAATGCACACGTGCAGCAGCAGCAACAGGCACCACTGCAACATGCAACATGTAAAAAGCAACTCCCTTCTGCAAAGGCAGAGAAACAGAGCAGGCAGACCCCAGACAGGGCCAACGGAGACACGACAAAACCCAGCAGGCCCAGAAACCTGCACCAGGCGACCGACGGCGGAAAAACCCCGCTCGACACCTGCTGGACAGGGTACTGGGAGCTCTTTTACACCCAAAGCCCGGCCCAAGGCCAGGCTAGACTGGCCAGAGGGTGGCCCACCAGGTAGCTGCTAGGAGTGGCCCGCTGGCCCACATACCCCCACAACCAGGACGGGCCGGAACTGCTATACGAAAACAGGCTAGTGTGCCCTGGAAGTCCACGGACGAACCAGCAAGAAGGCTTATGCTCGCAAGTAGGTCGTGTAACAACCACAGACCTCTGATGGTAATACAGTGATCCCCAATCGTGCCTATAGCACCACTGCACTCCACTGGTATTATGCCGCAAGTTCTACCAGATAGGCGGGACCCAAGAGCCAGAGCTCAAACCCTGCAAGCACAGCCAGGAGCCCTACCAGGTGAGTACAGAACCAACCCTACAACCCCCACACCTCACATGAAAAAAGGTGGGTCCCCAGAATGACTCTAGCATGGGTTGGACATGCACATGAGGGGGACAGGAAGGGATGAAAAAGGGACAGTCACTGGTGTGCGAACGGTCTCAGTCGTACAAAATTATACCTAAATAAAGACAGGTATATAAACAACACCGCATCCAGCGCCCGGCCAAAAGACGCCAGACTGCAGAAACTCACCTGGCGAATGGTGGCACGAACTTGACACGACTCAACCGTGCCCAGAAGAACCTGGGAGCACCGCCAGGGAAAGACGCCAAAGCCAGACCCTGCCGGACCCGAAGGAGAGCAGGGAGAGGCGAAGGAGGCGGCCCACACCCATGACACGGAAAACCGCAGCGTCCTCCCCACAACTGGGAACCAGGACACCCCCGGAGCGAAGGGGCACATACCGCAGCCAGGGTGAAGAATGAGGCGAAGCACTGTAGCAAAAAGGGCGCAAAACACCAGCACTGAAACACCGCCCAGACCAAAACAAACTCCACGGCGCATGCGCATGACACACTGGCCGAACCGCACAACCCTCTCTGCGGGAAGGCGCCAACCAGGACTACTGCACTAGAAAAGTAGCCAAAAGAGGAAGCAAGAACAAAAAAAACGGCCAAAGAAGCAAAGAGAGCCCAAAAAGGAACCCAACCGGGCAACAAGTAGCCCAACAGGGCGACAAGTAGCCCAACAGGGCGACAAGTAGCCCAACAGGGCGACAAGTAGCCCAACAGGGCGACAAGTAGCCCAACAGGGCGACAAGTAGCCCAACAGGGCGACAAGTAGCCCAAAACGGCGACAAGGACGAGGAGCCGACAGACGTTACAATAATGCGGGAAGTAGCGAAAAACCTTCCCGAACCCTCAAGAACACAGAAGCCAACACTAGTCCCGAAGGCAAACAAAGGCGCAGGCGCACCCGAGATCAGAAGTCACATAGAACCCCATCGAACGGGGAAACATGATGAAAACACCATCCCAAAAAAGGGTGGGAGGAAACATCTACCCATAGGACGGAACCAACCGACTCAAAGGCCAAGGAACCGAGCCCGGGGAGGGGCCGACGCCCAACAGCAAGTACGGCGAGTGGGGAGGAAAGACCCCACTCCGCGTAACCACAAACCCCGCCTAGAGGGGGATAAAAAAAAAAAAACCCACGGGGTCCAACGGGGCCAAGGCCCCCCAAGTCAGCCCCTCCCCAGCCCCAGGAACCTACACGACAGGCCCCGGGGCCGAGCCGTTCCCCCAAAGCCCCGGCCGTACCAGAAAACCGGGGCAGCCGTGAAAACACTAAGGAAGGGAGCCCACTGGCAGACTCATACAACACGGCTGGAGGAACAGGCTCAAATGCCCCCGTCACTATCCCGGAAGGGGCATTCCCCGAGACTGCCCGAGTCTCAACACCATCAAAAACCCCGCCCCGAACCTACAAACGGTAAGGAAACAGATGCAGGCAGGAAGGGTGATCCAGGGGAAAGACAAGGGGGCGTGGATGGAACCGAAGCAACCAACACCCCAAGTCCCAAAACGAACTAAAACGGGGCAGCCCCGGGGCTCCCAGGGAGGAAACCACGAGAACGTTGCCACCACCAAGGCTCAAGTGCAACGCCCCTGCTTCCCGCACCCGCTTTGTACCCGCTTTGTCAGCGGGTACAACTTTGGGGCAGTTGTGCTTTGTCAGCACAACTGGGTAACCGAGCCACAACGAGCAACCAAACTCGCAGGACTCCGGGTCGAAGGTGTCACCTTCGACCTGTGTACTATTGTCCACAGGCAGCAAACGGAGGCAAAACAGAGAGTCACCCAGAGACAAAGGGTGAGAGCAACCCTCAAACTCGCTGGAAGCGAGGGGGGGGGGGACTCTGGGGTCACATCCATCGAACCCCGCGTACCCCCAGGGGTTTCCCAGGGTCCCGAGCGTTTACTATAAGAGGACTCGTGCTCAGGTAATCCCAGGCAGGGTACTGCTAACCGGCACCCAAAGCTACCAAACAACTTTCTAAGAGCTGAACCCCCGGGACGTGTACACTCACGGGGACCTAGCAGGGGGTACCACCAGAAAATATTCAGAACACAAGGGACACAAGGGGCAAGAACGAAGGCAGACCCCCCCACCAGGTAGATAAACAAAAAGAAAAAGAAAACCCTGCAAGAGGACAGCGTACCCAAGCGGAACAGAGCCGGCCACAATGATTGGTAAAGACAAGCTGCACAGTACCCCGCACCCCACCAGTGCAAACACTGCCCCTTACTCTAAGGCGAACAAGGGAGACAGAACACCCGAGCACACAAAGAGCGGCCGAAAACCAAGCAGTAAACTGCCAAGCAGGGGCAGGACCCAAGGAACTTGTGGAAGGCGGCCCCAAGCCCCAAGGGCAGTACTTACAGGGCACCTAGGGAAGGGAACCCTAGGCGCATGCAGCCTGAGTACTGGAGAATCATTCCCGGCTCTAGCACCACCTAGAAAACAGACACCACACTCTAGGTACAGTGCTGAAACAACCACTGGAGCCGGAGCACATAACCGGTGCCTATAGCATCAGCCGAAGAACTGATGGGTGGATAGCCGGCGTGGGAGGTCTGGGGCTCCCCCTTCCCCTTCCCGGGGAGGGGGGAGCTGCGCAGACAGCGGTGCGGTGACGTATGACGTCATACTAGTTTCCTTGTTTTCAAGGAACACGGGGGTTCCTATAGGCCATTGTTCCCTTGCCTCTCTGAGGGGGCCAGGTTCTGGTCGTGGTCCCCGGTAGGCCCTAGAACTCCATACACATGACTGATGCCAAAGTCTGACATTAGCATATCAGCCTGGTAAAGCTCCGGGGAGCTGACGGGGCTCCCCCCAGAAAATAACAAACATTAAAAACAGAAAAACTTGAAGGATATATATCCAACAGGAAGATAAATATTGTAATACAGTAACAAGGTTTTATCATTATAAAAAAATTAATTTTCATACACAGGACAAATTCTTAAAAGGTCTCGGAAGTACAGTTGGGTTTGTTCTTGAGTCACAATTGGGAATCCTGGGTTTAAATCTCAAGTGGGACAGAGATGGCTAGGCACATTTCCTATCGCCTAATGGCTCTGTTCACCTTGCAGTAAATAGATGTCCAGGAGATAATCAGCTTGTTTTGGGGTTGCATCTTGGGGAAGCCTAATATACAGTGCATATACACAGGCTGCCTGTCTCCAACAAAATTAGTTATGAATTATTATAACAGAAAATAGTATGTAATTGTTATGATCTTGGCTCCATTGCTGCACATGGAAGCCAGGATCGTATGGGATTCGTATACCTATTGTTTATACAGTCAGCCACATGTTTTACGAACACCTGTTATACGAAAATGCCTGTTATCCGATTGGGGTTTGTTTGGATAACTAGTATGTGCAATAAAAATGGAACTAGTTTGCCAAGTGACTGTACACAGCACCACTTGAGCAGTGTTCATACACTAATTGATGGCTCAGAAGCTTTCAACTCTGCCATGGCATTAAGTACATTAGATTACATGGTAAAAAGCAGTCTGATGACATTACTTGATCACCATTAATCTCCACTTCAGTCAACCCAACACTATCATCATCCACCACCAACTTTTCTATCTAAATAACTTTAATATTATAGTTAATGAAGCATTGATAACAAGCAGGTCAGAATATATAATGGCGAGTACAAACAAAAACTGTCAAATTTCTGCAACAAAATTTGTCAATTCCCCCCCCCTTCCCTAGCTTTTCAGGATGACTAACCACTTATCCGAAAACAACATTTTATCCATTCAGTCTTGGTCCTGAAAGGTTCAGAAAGCATGTGGCCGATGATATAGAGAATGTGAGGGACCATTAAGTTATACTGTATATTTTGTTGTGATAGGCCCTGAATATTGTGAGAATATGTTGAGAATTGTATTGTGGAGAATTAGAGCTAGTTACGTTGGCTTGGTTTAAGAAAGAAGCATTTATGTGTCTGTTGGAATTTATAGACAAGTGACTTCTCAACTTAGGAATGGTGGGCTTTGTAATCCCTGCCAGACGTAGGACTATTTGGGGCCACTAGCTAGAAACACTGTGGTGATATTTTGTACAGTGTATTGTAAAGTTAGGATATTACATTTATACACAGAGTGCATGAAGAAATTGTGTGAAACCCTGGTTAGGCTTCAGTGGAAGCCTTGGGACCCTCGTGGGTGCAGTAGCACTACAGGTTGCAATTATTTTGACCATGTCATGGCACACTTGACTAGAGCGCATCTGGGACACTCAGTGCATAGGTTTGAACCCTTATCAAGGCTCCTGTGGATATGTTCTATTACAGTTATATTTAGAATTGTAGGAGACAATTAAATATTGTATTAGAGGTTTGAGTAAGTGCTAACTGGATGATCAGTTGTCCAAGCGAACACCAAGAGCACTGGGACGCAAACGGCTGCTCTCTTCTTCTTGGCTGGGGACGCATTGCGGCTGGACATGGCTAGTGGGGCATCCTCATTTTCACCTCTCCTACTCTAAACTTCAAGGTTTATTACTTGTTAAGTACTAAGTACTATTGTCCATGCCATCCTTCTGCTCCAAGTGTATTCTTGTCTGTGTTACCGTGCTTGATGGGGTTCTGGGAGTTCTACTCCCCAAATCCGGCCCGTGGGCCAGGTTTGACTAGTGAGAGCTTGGTCCAACAGGCTGTTGCTTGGAGTGGCTCACATATCCATCAAAGCCCAGTTGGTGTGGCACACCCTGGTTCGAACCTGGAGATTCATGTAAGCTAAACCCAGGTACTAGCCAGAGAAGCATGTGGTTTATATAAACATATATATTTATCTACATTAAGTTGAATTGCCCCTTAAGGGATTGCAGACCCAACCACAAGTTACTAGTATGTGAATCTCGTCTCCTGCCTATGTGGAGTCTGCGAGTTAACATAAAGCAGATGTGGTAGAGTATTGTAATGTTACTTGAGGGTGTATAGTGTTTAAAAAATAATGTAAGTTTTTAACTGGAGTTTACCATCCCCCTCTTTGACTAGGGTTAGGCGATCTGCACTAGACCACAGACTATTTTTATATCTAATTTGTTGAACTAATTTCCTGGGGGGGCCCTTGCCTAGCCTTACCCCTGAAGGTGGTATTTCCCGTATACTGTTTGTACACTAATAGCCCCCACTTATAACAAGTACTGCATAACAATTATAACAGTAATAAAAGGATATTTCTTGATATTATTTGGTCTGACATCGTCTGGAATCGCTCCTGCATTTGCTGCAGTAGAACTGTCACCTGAAACACAAAAGGTATATAATAATACTGTATCTGTTGCACAATAACAACCACTAAACATAGAATACTGGTATTAAGAGTGATAAAAGTCCAAAATACGTCTTGAAAAACCCATTAGGAAAGGAGAAAGGGAGTTATCACAAGCCATCAGCTGCCACAAGCACTAAATATTGTGGCAACAGGCTAGTTAATGAACAAGGTCAAAGACCTAGTTCATTAACTTACTACACAACTTTATTAACTAATTGCAAGACAAGATAATGATCCAGGACAGACCATAACATTGTCATTTCTCCATTTTCAGATGTGTGGGTTTTGAATCAACACTTCAGCCAATTTTAACTAATTGTAACACTTTGAATCAATTGTAACTCACTACTTGCAAGGTCAAAGAATTTTTTTACTACAGTAATAATAGGAATTTTATGTCAACCTTTTTCAAGATCTTAAAATGTTTAATTAAGGGCAAAATCTAGCATTTCCAAATACAGATTTGTATCTATTTTTCTTCTGTATTTCTTAGCCAGTTAAGTATACAACTTCAACTAGAAATGTCTGGTTGATACCTGGTTGATGGGGTTCTGGGAGTTCTTCTACTCCCCAAGCCCAGCCTGAGGCCAGGCTTGACTTGTGAGAGTTTGGTCCACTAGGCTGTTGTACTAGGCTGTCCACTAAATATTGAATTCCATGAATCTGGACTTGGGGCTGAGTGCATGGGCATGTTTTCAATTTCTCTTTCAAAGTCTAGTGCGCTCGTGTTGATATCAGTTATATTTACAGGGGTTTGAATATCCCTCATAAAGAAATTGTCTGGATCTTCCACTTTCATGTTGTTTATTGGAGTGCTAAACATGTCCTCATACTGCTTTTTTAGGATTTCACTAATTTCTTTGTCATCCTCTGTGTATGAACCTTCACTTGTACGAATAGGTCCAATACTGGCAGTGGTTTTTACTTTTGATTTGGCATATGTGAAGAAGTATGTTGGATTTTTCTTTATTTCCTGAATTGCTTTCTGTCCTAGCTGCCTTTCTTCAGTTTCATATGAGTGTTTCAATTTCCGCTCGATTTCTTCAATCTCCCTATTTAAATTATTCCTTCTTTGACGGGAAATTCATGTCTGCATAAGCATTTCCTTTATTTTTTTCCTTCGTTTATAGTGTCATCTGCATTCTCTTTCTCATTAGATCTCTTTCTGGCTTTCCTCAAAGGAACATGTTTCAGACAGACTTGACACGCTTCCGAAGTCAGTTTTTCTATTCCTTCTGTAGGACTTGTATTACTTAGAACAGTTTCCCATGGAATGTTTGTAAGTTCTCTGTTTATTATCTCCCAGTCTATCCTTTTATTATTAAAATTGAATTTACTGAATAGCCCCTCTCGCTTTATCAACGTTTTAGGTCTATTCTGAGTATTGATGGTCGTTTACACTTCAATGAGCTTGTGATCTGAGTATGTGGTATCTGATATTGTAATGTCTCTGATAATGTCTTCATTGTTCGTAAAGACCAGATCTAGAACATTTTCATTTCTCGTTGGCTCCGATATCTGCTGGTTGAGTGAAAATTTGTCACAGAATCTAAGTAGTTCTCTAATCTGTGGTTGGTTAGGTCCCGATAGATTTCCTGGTATAATATTATTGTTTGCTATTCTCCACCTGAGACTAGGCAAGTTGAAGTCACCTAGGAAGATAATATCAGGTATCGGGTTCTCCAAATTATCAAGGCTATTCTCTATTTTGTTTATCTGTTCTGTGAATTCCTCGGCCGTTGCATCTGGCGGTTTGTATATTAGAATAATCACTAAATTTATTTTCTCTAATTTTAATCCCAGTACCTCTACCACCTCATTTGTAATGTTAAGGAGCTCCGAGCATACAAGGTCTTCCCTAATATACAGACCCACTCCTCCATGTGACCTAATTTTCCTATCACACCTGTATAGGTTATATCCTGGAATCCAGATCTCACTGTCTAAGAATTCCCCTACATGGGTTTCTGTGAAAGCTCCAAATACTGCATTTGACTCCGAAAGGAGGTCATTTATGAACTGTACTTTGTTGTTTGTTCTTGTTTTCAGTCCTTGTATGTTGGCAAAGATGAAGGAGGTTACTCTATTAGTGATACTGTAGTTTGACTGGGAGACTTTTTTGGCAAGCCCATGATGCATGGACATATTGAGTTTGTTCTGACCAGTGCTGATTGTTGTAGGGCAGTTGCCTGATACATAAAAATGCTATTAACTAATATCTTAATATGATACAGTACTTCTGCTTCTCGTATCTTCTTCCAAACAACATTATCTGACATGAAGCCCTTCATATGCTCTCTGAGCCAGAGCCATCTTGGTCCACCTAAAAGGTCTATCTCCAGCTAGGCTTCCATCAGCTCCTCAACCATCATGGCAAGTAACTTTCCAAATGGTTTTGTCAAGAAAAAAGAAGGGGGGAGAGTGGTGAATCTAACAAGTCATAACCAAGGGACCAGCTCCATATCATACAAAAGGGGGGAGCAACACCATTACAACAAAAGATATAAATGTTAACACGATTACTGCACTGCTCACTATTGATTAAAGAACTAAGCTACCCCTGCAACCACCAGTCACAACAGTTCTGGTGGAGCTTTCAATCTCAAGATGTTTCCATTGTCTACCAGCATAATTTAAAATCTGCAGATTCTTAAGTTTTTTGGCTAGTTTTTCTTGAGAATATTGTCTCAACACCTGGGAGTTACATGCTTCATAATTTGCTTGATAACATATGAAACCAGTTTATGTGCTGTTGATTATGGCTACCAGCTTTGGTTAAATTCCAGAATTTTCTTCCTTGTAGATCTTTAACAAAGATCTTCAGTTTTTTCCACCACCTTCCACCTTTTTCCACCATCAGGTATCCAAAGGATACCTGATCAACCAGGCTGTGACTCGTACGTCAAGCTGCGAGCAGCCGCGTCCAACAGCCTGGTTGATCAGTCCGGCAACCAGGAGGCCTGGTCGACGACCGGGCCGCAGGGACGCTAAGCCCCGGAAGCACCTCAAGGTAACCTCAAGGTAAGGTAACCTTGGTTGATCTTTGGGACTATGTCTGAGGCTTCCACCATGGCACTAGGGTTCCCTCTTTGGTGCACACACTAGGCCAGAGAGAGATTCCACTATTGTGATTATATGACAGATCACTTAAATGCTGCTATATACAGTATTTCATTAGTATACTGTATTAGAAAGAGTTAGATATGTTAGACCCTTTTGTACATATAGGTACTAATGATTCTGAGAATGAAAGTAATTATTAGGGGAAAGCGCCAAGCCATTATGACTATATACCACTTGGAAGGAGGTCAGGATAAGGATTTGGGATGGGATGGGAAAAGGAGTGATGCCCAACCACTTGGACAGTTGGGGATTAAACATCAACTTGCATGAAGCAAGACCGTTGCTCTGCCGTCCAGCCTAAGTGGTTGGGCAGGATCAGATTTTTTTTTTTAAGAGATGCTCATAGATTCTATATATAATGATATGAAGAATTTAAAATCTTAGTACAGTATTACAAACCTGTACTATACAGGATTTTTTAAATGCTAGATTTAAGCAGGAGAATGTAGGTGTGTAGTAGGAAACGTACTGTAATTTGAACAATGTCAAACAATTTGTATTCTGTTTACCAAGTTGTGTTGACCAATGATTGGTTAGTGATGAGTGAATATCTAAGCACATATAACCTAATATATGACAGACAGAGATATAGAAGAGAGATGCACAAGAAAATCTTACTATCAATAATATGCAGTCTTGGATACATCTTAGCTATATACAAGTGTTGAAGTTAAAGTTACCATTGGATAGGTCTAGAATGTATCACTTTTCTGCTATTAATCATTTTATTTTCCTTCCAATGTCTTTGGTGTATAATATTTGATTATCAGATGTGTTTCCAGACACAGCAGGTATCTAATAGGATATATCTTATTAGATACATGAAGCATATAGTGTAAGTATATAGGCCAAGAGTATCGTGAACTCTACATATTTAAAACTGAATTGTAATGCCAATCCTGACCTTGAAAGCTTCCTAGAAGGTTGTAACATAACTCTTGGGCACCACACCAGAAACAAATACCTATTTGATATTCCAAGAGTGTGCCTTAACCAAACTAGAAATGCTCTACAGATCAAGGGCCCTAAAATGTGGAATGACCTTCCCAATCATGTCAAAGGCTGTACCTCTCTCAACCAGTTTAAGAGGAAAACTAGGCAATACCTAATTAACTCCCTGTAACCTACCTTACCCCCTAAATGTCAACCCATGTCTTGCTATTTTCAAACAATACTGTTCTTGACCAAATTGTATAATTGCTGATTTCTGCCATGTCCCCCACCCCCTTTTCCCCTTTTTCAACTCAATTTATGCTTTGATCTCAATTAATATTTTTAGTCTATAAGTTTTAGTCTTATTTTCCCCCACACCTTGCCCAAAATGCTGCGTGTATTAGTGGCCTTAGGCATTGTATGTACTAGCGCTATCTAGAAATTCAACATAATGTTTGTAACTCATCTTCTATGTATGTACTTTTACCTGAATAAACATTTGATTTGATATGATTTGATATCTGGTGGAAGCTAACGAAACTGTGCAATAACCAAATTATTATTATTATTATTTATTTACCAGCACTGAACAAAATTCCTTTTCTTCCCTTAGGGCCTCAATTTAGGCTAGATTAGGTTAAGGAGGTTTTAAGGCCCATTGACGTTCTCTCCAGCACTGTATAATGTGACCATTATCCAGCTAACGCTACATAGTTACTTATTAAAGGCTGCAGAACACCTATGTTGGTCAAGTCAGAGGAGATGAACCATGTTGGCATAGCAACCGCTTGTGATCTTCACAAACATAAGAATAATCTTACACTAATGAGAATAATGTTACATTTAAGGTGGTTGAAGGCGGCCGTAAGAGTGGTTATGTGGTTACTTACATATGTGGTGAGCTCCTGGACGTTCTTAGGGTCTGGGGCGGCCACACTGACGGCCATATCAGCATCGTTGCGTGCATCACCTCTTGGGTCAGCCATGGTGATGCCCCTGTGTCTTGTTGCTGGTGGTCTGCTGCTGCTGCTGCTGCCGCTGCTGCTGCTGGGGTCTGGTCAAATCGTCTACTGCAGTTTCGGATACTGCACTAGAAACAACTTCGTTCACTGAGAAATTTGTACATTCAAACCCTTTCGTTTGTATATGCGCTGGTTTGTGTTCGCTGCTGTTCTCCTCTGAAATTGAAATTGAAATTGAAATAAGTTTATTGAGGTAAAATACACACAAAGGGATGAGGTAGCTCAAGCTATTCTCACCCCATTATTCTCCTCTGAATAAATACATATTTTTTTTTAATTAATTAAGAGTTGTTACATTCTTGTACAGCCACTAGTACGCGTAGCGTTTCGGGCAGGTCCCTGGAACATCAGCAGCTGGAACAGCGTCAGCTGGAACATCCTCAGCTGGAACATCATCTGCTGGAACACTTCAGCTGGAACATCATCGGCTGGAACACTTCAGTAAACATTAGCTACTGGATCATCGGCTGAAACCTCAACAACTAGAACATCAGCAGCTGGAACATTAGCTGCTGGATCATCGGCTGGAACATCAGCAGCTGGAGCAACGGCGGCTGGAACATCCTATGCTGGAACATCAGCTGCTGGAACATCATCGGCTGGAATACTGCCAGCTGGAAACATCAGCTGCTGGAACATCATCGGCTGGAACACTGCCAGCTGGAACATCAGCTACTGGATCATCTAATGGAACCTCCTCAGTCGGAACATCAGCAGTTGGAACATTCTCACCTGGAACACTCAGCTTTGCTTATGGGGGACGGTAATACTGAGAGAGGATGCCCAGCATGAGGGCTGCACCCTCCTGCAGGATCTTCGAGACGTTCTCCAGCGCTCTGCAATGGATCCTCGCAGAAAAGTTCAGCGTGCGGGATGTAGAAAAGGTGCTTTCACGTCTACAGGCGCTGCCGCCCTTGTTCCTACGAGACGCAGCCCTCGCCGAGACGCCAACTGCCGTTCCTCAGCATCTCCTGCCCTGCAACTTCACCCTAGAACTGTGAGGACACTGCTCGACTCCCTGCAACCTGCGACCCGGCGTACTTCAAACTAAGTGGGCGGAGTATGCGGTGTACGTATCCGGCGACGGGAGTGTCCCTTCGAGGCTGCATGCGCCCTCGACTCTGGCGAACTTCTTGCAACCGCTGCTATCCCGGGGCTTGGCATTCCGCTCTTGGAATGCATACCTCGCGCCGATCCCCTTCGTGTTCAAGCTTCATGGTCGTGAGGACCCTACTCACCAGTTTCTAGTTACTCGACTGTTTAAGGGGGCGCGGAACACGGCACAACGGCTTCCGTCACGGCGTCTGCCTGCGATCAGGCGCCTACTGCATCGACTGCGTGGAGCCCTGGGAGGGGTCTGTGGCTCGATCGGATTACGAGAAGACCTGCTACCGAGTGCTCTTCCTCCTGGCTTTCCACGCCTGCCTCCGTCCGGGGGAGGCGACTTACGCAGAGAAGGGGCAATAAACGCTACGCCTAGACCAGATAACTTTAACGAAGATGGGAATCGACATCGCTTTTGCCTACTACAAGCACAGCGCGGGCCGCACCCTGACTTTAACCCTCAGCCCAGACCCCTACAGCAAGTACTGTCCGGTCCGCGCCATAGCGAAGTACATAGGACGGCGGGGCACGGAACCAGTATATTCAAAGACAGGACGGGCGCCCCAGTCACCAGACAAGATTTTTCCAGGGTGCTCCGCGCTGCCTTTACAGCGCTGGGACTGCCTCCAAATGATTAGGCCCCTCACTCCTTTCGAATAGGCAGGGCCACCCAGATGTCAAAGGATGGCTTGGGGGTAGAAGAACTCCCACAACCCCATCAATCAGGTATCTCTATACTACTGTCCCCCCATACTGGCTTGCGTTTTTCTCCCCCGATCAGAAATATAAGAAAAGTTCAAGAAATTTGTGAATATTTCATTCAAAATGATCTACTAGAAATTTTAGCCAAATATCCCCAGTTTGCTAACTGTAAGTAGTAACTAAGTGACTGTAACCTATCCACAGTTGTGCAGGACAAACATATCAAATGTGACACTAGCTCTCCACATGTCAGATGCTTAATTTAGAAACTATACTTGTGGCCGATCTCGGGCCCATTGTTGATGTGAAAATGTGTATTGAATTTTGTAACTAGCTCATCAAGATTTAACTTGTTTAGCTAATTGAATTGTGGAGTTCAGTCCCTGAGCCCATTGTGCCTCTGTAATCCTTTCCACTACTGCCCACAAGATGGACATGGGGTGCATAATAAATGAACTAAACTAAAACTGTACTTTAGTACCTCTTTTCTGTATCCTATTATTGAATATTGGGACTACGTTTACCTTTTTCCAGGCATCTGGGAGACTTCCTATCTCAAGCGTTTTATGACAAGCGACAACGAGTGACTACTTACACAGCCATGGTGAGATTAGGTCTGACCCCCATTGATTTTGTTACATCTATTTCCCCCATGTTTTTTCACCTTTTCCACAGGCCCTTCATCTTGCAACCTTGGTCTCTACTCTCGTTCTAATGTAAAGACCTGAAATTTTTGGTCCAGTTCCTCGCATATCTCATTATTCTTTTTGAGAGCTCCCCCTTGTTTCTTCAATCTAAGTACACGGTCTCACAATAATTTTTCTCCCTATTATAATTTTTTCTCCTTTCTCCCTACAGAACAGCTTTGGTTGTTCCTTAGCCTTTGCTGCAATGTATTGCCTGTCGGCTTATCTTCCAATTCAGGCGTATTCATTTCTTGTTCTCTTTAGTGCCCCTCTATTCCCAGTTCTCTGCACTTTTTCTAGGCCTTTTTTTGTTCTTTCTTTAGCTTCCCTGCATCGCCTATTGAACCAGGGGTTTACTTTATTTTTTTCATCACCTTCTTGAGTGGTATGAACCGTTTCATTACATCGGCACATTTCCCAGCAATAAATTCCATCATCTCAGTTGCCGCCTTCCCTTCCATTCCTCTTTCCCACTGAAATTTCCACGGAAAGTCCCTTATCCTGTTGTAGTTCTAATGTCTGTAATTTCTCTTCTTCAGTGGGTTTCTTAGTGTAATTCTTGACTCCACTATGTATTCAAGCATAAGAATGCAGTGGTCACTAGCTCCTAGAGGCATTTCATACTCTCTCTCTCTTTTCAATATCTACTTTATTATGGAAAACACCAAGTCTAGTGTTTCTGGAGGATTGTCTTCTCTAACTCTTTTTGGTTCTGTGACATGGGAGAGGTCTAAGGATAGGGTGCACTGCCGGGTACCCCATTTACTTCTAATACTACTGTAGTATATAATAAAATTAAATCATATTTGAGAAAATCCACATTTTGAATACACAGTGCATTAAAATTGATGAATGCACTACTTGGACACAGTAAACTCTAAAACCTAAGCTAGAATAATGTGTTACACACCCTGTGCACTCCATATAGAATACAAAATTTTCTCTTATTTTGGTTAGATTAGGGCAGGATAGGATTGGTTGCGTGGGTTTGGCCAAGTTATGGCAGGTTGTGTTGGGTTAGGTTTACTGAAAGAGTAGCAATGATGTAAAGTAATGAAAATTTGCTCAGGTCATAGACCCTTCTGCTTGGATGAGCATAGCCTGATAGGTTGCAGCCTTGTAAAGCAAATACAAATAATTGCCAACAGAACCTGAACACCTAATCTCACCTGATTTACTTGAGGGCCACTAACCCTAGTAGCCTCGACGAGGACAGGAAGTCGGCGGCTGATAAGCTGATATCACCTAACGTTTGCCTAACTTTACTCACTTATTACACAAGAATTACTCGGTGAAAAAATACAGATTTTGAACACATTAAAATTTATACTTGCAACTTTGGGGTTGGCTGCATCTTAGCAAATCATGGGTGGAGGACGGGTTGATTAGTATGTACAGTATACACTTCTGTTGTGACAATTGTCCATTCTGCCTCTGTTGAGGGTTTTGACTGACATAGGTTATGCACAATCCCTATATTGTACTGACTTTAATGTACCGGTAAGTGTTTTTGCTTTTTGCCGTCATTCTTGGTGTGAATGAACTGCTGCTTTGGTTCTCTTTTAACAAGTTAGTAGTGATGATCTCAGTTGCTCACTTACTGCATTACAAGTGCAAAATGCAGACAGCAAGTGACAATTACATGGCTGAAAATTAAACACCCAACCCACACATCTGAAAATAAGGGAAGTGATGATATTTTGGTCCACTCTAGACCATTATTACATAACTTGATGATGGTTCAGGACAAACCAAAACATCATCACTTCCTTAAACCACAAATTTTATGATCAAAGGATTTGACAAGGTGGAGGAAACAGAAGGGATGGTAGATGGAAAATTATAAACTGAGGTTGGTGACAACGGGAAAAAAAAGTCTCGTGTTCAGCTTCCATGGATTTGTTGCATTACATTTGAGTGGAGCATGTAATTAGTACACCGGCTGTTGGAAGGCAGGTGAATGCTGCCAACACTAGGAAGCTGCTGCTGTTCTGGCTATTGGGTGCCAATGACTTCCTCTAGCTAGGAATGTCTTCACACATTAAGCCTTCTGTACTACTTGCTTGCTTTTGTGTTTTGCTTTTATTAGGATATTTTTTATATAATTACTGTACATTTATTTAGTATATATAGGGCCAGGAAGAACCCATTCTTCATGGTCATCAGGCAGATAGATCAGGTTTCAAAGGCATTTATTCAACAAATCTTAAAAGGTGTTGTAGGAGGAAAATTGGAAAATTAACTAGCAGGTAGTGTGGACAAGATGATTAACAAAAAGGTGCTAATACCTGTACAAAGGAAGAATACTTGATAAACTTATGTGCAGTGAAAGGTTTGCTATACATCAGAATCTTTAATGAATATAAGTTAACTCACAGATTTAACACACAAAAACAGTACCAGTGGAAAGTGACATGTCACAACTAATAAAGCATTACGAAGTGATGAATACAGACATCATATGATGGACCATGTGCACCGATACAAGAGGCAGTGATGAGTGTCCTCTCACATTGAAGTGGAGGAACAGTAAACAAAAATCACAGGAACCAACATCAGTCACAGTTTAATCTGACAAAACACATCCAACCTCATTAGAGAACAACACTGATCACATCTCATTAAGCTAGGATGTGATGTCAAAACCACAACGACCAACAAAATATCAGAATCTTACCCTATTGGCAGTTTGATGAGCATAATCTTTACTCTTACGTAGAGAAGGTGTTAACTTCCAGTAATGACTATACTATACAGTATTTTATACTGTATAACTAGTTGTGCTTCAAATTCATAAATACTTACTAATTTATATTTAGTGCTCCAATATTACTCTTTATTGTGCAAGGTGAGGGACTGAATTGTTAAAAAAGTTAAACCAAATTATACACACTATTGCATTACACTGTTATACACCCTATCTTACCCTATTGGCAGTTTGACGAGCATAATCTTGACTCTCACGCATAGAAGACATTATCTTCTAGCAAATGATTATACAGTATGTACTGTACACTATTTTATGTAACTAGTTGTGCTTCAAAATTCATAAATACTAATAACTATTTGATATTTAGTGCTCCATTATTATTCTTCATTGTGAAAGATAAAGGATTGAACTATTGAAATAGTTAAACCAAATTATACACTCACAATTTCATTTGGATATATTTGGCACAAAGTGCCAGATATTTTGTAACTCAAAATGGTTAAAAAAAAATAAAAAATAAAGAATAGTTGAATGTAATGAAAATGCCATTTTCTGGGTTGAGCCCCAGAGGCTTCCTGAAGATAAACAGACTGATACCTCCCATATTAGTCTATAGCATCAGTTACTGGAGTCCTTATGCCTACCAGGAACCACAAACCAGAACCTGGCTCCCTCAGAGAGGCAGAGAGAGCAATGGCTTATGAAATACTCCATTGTTTGAGAGTAGTCATGTCTGCCATCAACTGGGGGTATCACCCAGAAAGGTAGGCGAACCATTACAAGCCCCAACTGGTAAAACATTGCAATCCAAGACCGAACAGAGGCTAGGAACCCCCCCCCCCCCCAGAGAAAAACAAACAAGTGTTCACTCAACCAGCGCACCGGCTTGTTAGTGACCCGTTGGCCAAAGCTCTCACACCTGCAGTTCATCAACTGATGCAGTATAGAGCTACAGTTGCCTCTGGCCTCTTTCTCCTGCTGGATTTTATCCTGTGCAGTTGTACCGGCTGTGTGATTATTGTGTGGTGGCCAGGTGTTCTAAGAAGTACTTGGGATGGAGGTCAGGCTGGGGGTGCATCACGTTGTGTGTCCGGTTGCGGCTCTCTGCCGGTATCTGCACACCTCGGGTTCTGTATCCCCCGTGCCCGAATGTCAACCAAAGACATGTTACCAAAAACTGCAGCAAGAGCTGCAAACGTTCACACATCATGGGCATGAGGGTAGCCTGCAGGCTAGCTACACATAACCCTGAGGACGACCCGAGAGACCCGAGCCCTGGAACAGGGAACGAGGGACACTGGATCTACCCAAAGCACGTCCATCGATACAGAACTCGAGGCATGCAGATAACGGCAAAGAGCTGCAACTTGATACAAAACATGATGCACCCCAGCCTGACCTGCATCCCAAGTACTTCTTAGAACACCTGGCCACCACACAATAATCACAGTCGGCACAACCATACAGGGTAAAATCCAGCAGGAGAAAGAGGCCAGAGGTAACTGCAGCTCTATACTGCAACAGTTGACGAACTGCAGGTGAGCACGCTTGGGCCGCCGGGAAAGGAAAGGGGGGGGGGGGGGCACTAGTGAGCAGGTGTGCTGGTTGAGTGGACATTTGCTTGTTTGTTGTCTTCTCTTGTGAAAAGTTCCTAGCCTCTGTTTGGTCTTGAGTTGCAATGTTTTACCAGTTGGGGCTTGTAATGGTTTGCCTACCTTTCTGGGTGATGCCCCCGGTCGATGGCAGACACGACTATACTCTCAACAGTCGAGTGTTTATATGCCATTGCTCCCTTCACCTCTCTGGGGGAACCAGGTTTTGGCTCATGGTTCCTGGTAGGCATAAGGACTCTGATGCTAGTCTAGAGCATCTAACTGATGCTCTAGACTAATATGGCAGATATCAGTCCTTTAGCTTCAGGAAGCCTCCGGGGCTCACCTCAGAAAAAAAAGTTATGCCCTGACAAACACAGAATGGCCTTGTGCATTCCCTTTTATTTTCTGTGGAATACATTTTTTATTTTAAAAGTTTCTTTTTCCATGTAATACTGTATTTTGGTGACCATCACAGTTTGCCATGCATACTTTTTGCCTTTAAATTCAGTCCAGCAACGAGGCCTGGTCGACCACCGGGCCATGGGGACGCTAAACCCTGAAAACACTTCAAGGTAACCTCAAGGGCAAGGTAACCTTCCATTACAAAGTTAGCCCTCTCTAGATGCTCCATCAGTCCCCCTTCCCAATTACTTTATCCAGTGCTTTGGAAGAAATGCATATTAGTGACACTTGGTTTGTAATTTAGTGCTTATTGCCTGCATTCTTCTTTTGAACACTGGCATCGAGTGTGACTGTCTTCCGCAGCCATGGTGTTATCTGGCCCGGACATACTGTTTCTTACATCTAGCTCCTGTACACTGTCTTATTTTCTCTCTTCAGCTATTACTCAGCTTTTAAATTATGCTTGTGGTCAGGTATTCAAGAAACAGGGTGGAAGAGGAAACATTAAGTGTGGGTCACCAAGAGATTGAGCAACAAGTTGCTCTTCAATGTGAAATGACAAGAATCCAGGAAGAGTTGATGGAAGTGAAAGAAATGAGACTCACGTGTGATGACAACCTTTAATCCGAGTGCATGTGCGGGATAGCACAAGATAAAGGACCCCCCATCAGAGCATAAGGTAAATATAACTGGTAAGAGAGGCATGTTTTGATTTGGCTCATTAAAGGTTATTTTGTCAATACTCTTAGAAAGGAGCCCAAGAAAACCAATGTGTCCGAGTCACAAAAATCAACTCACTAAACTGATGAATGAGCCAATTAATTTAAAAGAGCATCACAATTAAATATGTGTGTATTTGTTTGCTCTGGCAAAGATGCTCAAGCATGTATCAACACACTCAATCCGCCTTTCACAATCGTTCAGATCACCAACTCGGCTACATAACAGGTGCCTAAAAATCTTATTAATAAATACCTTTTTAATGTGAAAATTAACAGTGATTATCAGTGCATAACATGACAAAGCCACAGCAATTAATGACTTCCCATGGAATAACAAAATCTAATTAGTTGTTGTACCCTTGATAAGTACTTTTAGGGAGCTATGAAACTGCAAATATTGTACAAATTAGATATAAAATGTGTAAAAAGCAATTTGAAAATTTCCTTTAAGTACATGTAATTCTATACTGTATGTATTTAGTTTTAACACTTCAGAAAATGTACAAAGTTTCTTTTAAAAAGCACCTGTACAAAGTTCAAATTCTAAACTAACTGGCATGGATACAAGGCAGTCTATTGAAATCTGTGTTTAAGTCTCAGCTTATCAGTAAATAACCTTTAACTCTTTATTCTAAAATTTTCCTGGCATTTTTAACATGTGAGCCTCAACTCAATCCCACTCATTGTTTTCTTCCTCTGACATGTCTGCCTCATTTCCTGGAGGTTCTGGGAGGTGTATGTTTGAGAGGAGGTCCCTCATGGCATCAAGGAGTGTATTCACCGAAGCTCTCAAATCTCCAACAGCTTGTCCTTCTTCCTCGCCTCCTGCTTCCTGCAATGCTACTGCACCCTCTGCACCTCTAAAATAAGTAAATAGAATATCTAGTTATTAATTTATCATCATATTACAGAGATCAAGGAAGGCATCTTAGCCCCTTGTCAGAATATCTCACGATACAAATAATGGTAATCATTTTGAGGCAATAGAGTGACTTGAACCAGCGTCCTGGTTATTCCTAGACGCCTGCCTTAACCGACTTGGCCACGATGGTACAAAAGTCTACCAACCCGGAACTCTACTGAATTTACTGGGACATTCTGGAGATGCCGAACTACCGCCCAACCAGGGTTTTAGTCAACTCGATCCCACTCTGGCCAAAAGGTAATGGCCAGTTTGGGGCCTCCAGAACCTCCCAGTGAATTCAGTAGAGTTCAAGGTTGGTCGACTTTTGTACCATCGTGGCCGAGTCGGTTAAGTTAGGTGTCTGGGAATCACCAGAATGCTGGTTCAGGTAACTCCATTGCCTCAAAATGATTTTCACTGATAAATCGTGCCATTGTGATTTCATTGTGAACAAATAATGGTGCTCTCTCTCTCATGTGTACGTGTATATTCCAAGGTTGCTTTAGTGTATATATATTCCAAGGCTGCTTAGTGTATATATATTCCAAGGCTGCTCTAGTGTGTGTATATTCCAAGGCTGCTCTAAAGTGTATATGCCAAGGCTGCTTAGTGTATATATATTCCAAGGCTGCTCTAGTGTGTGTATATTCCAAGGCTGCTCTAGTGTGTGTATATTCCAAGGCTGCTCTAGAGTGTATATTCCAAGGCTGCTTAGTGTATATATATTCCAAGGCTGCTCTAGTGTATGTACAATCCAAGGTTGCTTTAGTGACTGGAGCTGGTGTTTCCAACCTTGTCCCATATTCCCACACCCCTGGAAAATATTTGATTTGTGTTTGCATCCCCCTATAAAAGTAATACCACATTTGTAGATACCATTTTATTGCATTTTTGACTTTATTCACAAGTGGATAATTTTTGGTGAATCACAATGCAGCCTTCCTCTTTGTTGCACCCTCTGAAACACCATATAGTACCCCCTGGACTCAGGCAAACATGATACTTATCCAATCAAAACTTGCCAGGAACAATACAAATGCTCACTGTGTAGTTTACACAAAAATCTATAGCATTATTGGGGCCCATGCCATACATTTAAATCAACAAATTAAGTATCTACTATTCTATAAAACAAATGGGGAATGCAAGTTATCTAAAAAAAAATGGCACCAATTTAACAAGTACAGTATCACACTATACTCACTCGTCAGGGTCTGGAGCGTTTGGGTCATAGTTGGGAAGCAGCGAACGGAAGAATGAAGCTAAAATACTTGATGAATTACTTGTTGGATGATTAGATGAAGGCGGTCTACTATAGCCACAGATAGTGTCAGGTGGTGGTAAAGGATCATAACTCATTACTGGAGAGTTGGCAAGGGCCTGCAAAAATATAATTTTGTTTGTTCAGTTTGAGAATGTTTTGAGAAAATTATCTGTGGAAGGAGGTATGTGTTTAGGGAACTAAGAAGCTAAAGCATAATGCAGAAGATAAAATTTTCTGTATTGCAAAATAAAACATTGAGCTTGGCAGATAATCATTATTATGATGGAATTTATTAAATTATCTAATAACTTTTATATATTTAGTGAATACAAATAAGAAAATGTTTAAAATTAAACATGCTGTCAGTCAGAAATATAAACAAAGCTGGGAACTGACAGCAGGTAGAGCTGCAGTAGCGTGCTTGATTTCTGCCATAAGAATGTGGCGGTAAATTGCCATGGGTGTCCCCTGGTACCGCACTTTACGAATCTCTTCTCCTTCCTTCACTAGTGGGTCACCACTATCTACACGAGCCAGGACAACTTGCACATTCTCTGTAACACAATAAAGAAAGCAATTCTTACATACAGTAACATATACACATACATACCCTGTATGGGCATGTAAAACAATTTCCATAATTAACTCAATGTGCAGTAATCATAGGCTGATCCCTAAGATGTGCCGTTATCATGTGTCGATTTATGTTTTTTATCACATGGTTTTTATACAAATTATGTAAATAGGGTTACAGTATAATAATACATCTTCATGAATGTAATGTTGTTAACCTAGACCAATGAGTAAATTCTGCTAACTTTTTAATGGCATACTATGTGATGGCGTTACAACATACCAGTGACCTGCAGTCATCAAATCAAAATTTGCTCAACCCCTCCACTTGAGTTTGAATGTATTTCTAGAAGACTTTCCAGACAGAATAGCGGCAAAGAAGTGGGTTGTAAAATGTTTATTCAAGCTGTGCCAGGAACAGATTTATGTGCAATATAGGCATACATAATATATTGTAGACATATATATATACAGTACTCAATTACTGTTTTTGTTAATTACTGTAGTTTGGACTCGCCATACCAACTTAGTGGTTTGCTATGGTGAACAAATGTAGATACTTATATATAGTGTGTGTATATAGTACAATAACAGCAAAAGGAGTATGTTGGGGGGAGGCATTTTGGTGAGGGAGGCATTTTGGTGAGGGAGGTATTGGTGAGGGAGGTGTTGGTGAGGGAGGTGTTGGTGAGGGAGGTGTTGGTGAGGGAGGGAGCATCAGCTGACTGTGTGGCAACCTCAAGTATTGTCTTTGACTCACCATACCAGCTTAGTTGTACAGTTGGTTCACACATTGTTAAAAAATATATCACTACATACTACTGAATATTACTGCAAAAATATACAAAAAAAATATAATAATAATAATAATAATAATAATAATAATAATAATCACACACTGAAATAATTAGGTATCATCATCTTTGTGGCAACTCCCACCTGACAGCTTGGGCGGAGCAGACCACCACCTAACGCCTGCTCTGTCAGCACCTCTTTTTTTTTTTTTTTTGGGCCAGACTTTCCCACCCTATTGCAGCCAAAATATGCCACCTACAATTTTTATTATTATTTTCCCCATGATCAGGGAATACAAATCAACACTTTTAAAAGACTTTTTATTTCTTGCACCTAGGCGTGTTGCAAACTAAAATTGCAAGAGCAGCCCAGAAATTAATGTACACAAGACTTCTAATTGTGGCATTTCAAATTCTGTTAAAAATGTAATCAATTAATTTACTTCCAACATGATGCCCATGTACTTGTCCCTGCTGCCGACACTTTCAGCACAGATGACAGCATACACTTCAGACTGCTGTCAGTGTAGACATAATTAAACTGACATTAGCAGAGACACGACTTTACAGGGCAAGTTATTAATTAAGTTATCAAGTTAGCAAGTTATCAGCAGAATCCGTAATGAATCTAACTTATAGAGAAACAAACTTGACATTCTGTTTTGAGCAAAATATGAGCATAAGAGTTTTTTGTGCACGATGATAGTGCCTTAAAATTTAAAACCTTACCTTCCAGCCATGTCATGACACCTGCTTCTTTCCATACGTGATAGCAGCGGCCCACATACAGGTTGACAATCTGAGTCAATCCTTTACTCTGTCTGAGGGTAACAATGTTTAACCAAAATGATAAATACAATAAATTGTCATCCACATTTCCGTGGAAATAAACATAACATTTATCTGGGCTGTATGGGTCTGGAATAGTTTATAGAGCATCGGCCTCACACGCATGGGGTCCACGGTTCGAGACCCATACAGCCCAGGTGAATGGGGGTAAATACAGTACAGTGATGACCAAACCACACATCAGAAGATGAAGAGATGACGATTTTGATTGTTGCCGCCGGAGGCAGCTAGTTTATTGTGCACCCCATACTCATCCTGTTGTATGGGGTTAGCACAAAAGCTTTAAAAAGGGCACAAAAGGTCTTTATCAGACCTCGTCTTAGATAATTACATAAACAATTTCATCTATCCTTCAAACCTTAGTTATATGTCAGCTAGTTACAGTGAATGTTCTACAGTATTTCAAGAGCTATATATTTCCAGTAAGTCATTATAGATTAATGGTAGGTCTTATCGCTAATACATAATTGTTTGAGCAATGGAGATATTACAGTCATAGGGGAGCTACTGTTTATTATTAGTCTTCACAATACTTAGTTTCTTAATCTCATATGTCATTTATCTACTGGGAGCGAATTATGGATACAGTGCAAGGATTTCAGATGACGCTGTTTTGGTCCATCCTGGACCATTATCAAATGGTGTAATGGATTTCCTGGACCATTATCAAATGGTGTAATGGATTTCCTGGACCATTATCAAATGGTGAAATGGATTTCCTGGACCATTATCAAATGGTGTAATGGATTTCCTGGACCATTATCAAATGGTGTAATGGATTTCCTGGACCATTTTCGAGTCGTGTAATGGTCCAGGACAGACCAAAACGTCGTCGTTTCTTCGTCCTCTGATGTGTAGTTTGGTCATCATATCTTCAGCCACGTTATTGTGAATCATCGTTTCATAAATACAATGTTTAACATTCAAATTTACAGAAACGTGTCAAGAACTGTAATATATGCAAGAGAGTACAGTATTTGATGGAGAAACTAACCTGAATGATTATTTTTCCAAAATTATCCAAATGTATGAATAAATGAAAGAATGAATTATGTAGTTATTAAAAAAATTTCAGCTGTTATTACAAAGCCCAAATTTTTTTTATTTACCTAACTTGTCAATGGTATTTATTATATTCAGCATAAACATGCAGAAAATGCACAGTGCTTCAACTACAGAGCACAAGCAAACCAATACAAATCTCCTTGAAACATAGTATGGTACCATTTACTCAAATGAATTAACTCTTTCATGGGGCTTTGTGAGAATATAATAGCTCTATTTTTAAATGTTAATTCACAACAAAACCCAAAATTGACAAACATTTATTGATGTTAACACGTGTACATCTATTAATGAACACGTACTGTACATGTATAATGTATATACATTATATTAATACTCTATTTGCCACTTTTATAAGGTGGGGAGATATCAGCGTAGAGAAAAAAACCAGCGTTGAATGTAATGAAACGCCATTTTCTGGGTGAGACCCGGAGGCTCCCCGGAGCTTTACCGGCTGATATGCTAATGTCAGACTTTGGCATCAGTCATGTGTATGGAGTTCTAGGGCCTACCGGGGACCACGAGCCAGAACCTGGCCCCCTCAGAGAGGCAAGGGGAGCAATGGCCTATAGAAACCCCCGTGTGGTTGGAAGCATTCTATGTCTGCCATCGACCGGGTCAAGCATCCAGAAAGGTAAGCATTCCAAAACAAACCCCTATTCTGGTGAAAATTGCTACCTAAGCCGAACTAGTGAATAGAACTCTTCAACAGAAAACAAGGAAACTAGTATGACGTCATACGTCACCGCGCCGCTGTCTGCGCAGCTCCCCCCTCCCTGGGAGGGGGAAGGGGGAGCCCCAGACCTCCCACGCCGGCTATCCACCCATCAGTTCTGAGGCTGGATGTCAAAACACGCGAAAAACGCCGACCGGAGGGAGGGAGGGTTGCCGGGGAGCCTCCGGGTCTCACCCAGAAAATGGCGTTTCATTACATTCAACGCTGGTTTTCTGGGGGGAGCCCCGTCGGCTCCCCGGAGCTAACTACCCACAGAGGAAGGTCAAAGGGACAAAACCGGGAGGCGGACACCACGCACCCCCCAAGGAGGCGAGACAACCGGCAGCAAACGCCAACCCAAGGCGCCACAGCCCCGAAAATCCCGGGAACAACACGAGAACCACGAGCAGCAAGGCCCCTGCACGAACACCAAAAATCCATGCCCAAAACACTGCAAGGCCACGTCGCCCAGACGGCAGTGAGAGCAGCGAAGCCACGAACGCCACAGGCATGAGGGAAGAACACAGGCAGCTTAGCCGCAAGAACACGGCTGACCACCCGGGACACCCTCACCCGCGAACCGGGAAGAACAGAACTGGATCAACGCAAAACGCGCTCCGGACCCAAACGCCGTGGCACGCAAACAACAGCGGAGGGCCGCCACTGAACACAAAAACGACACACCCCCGGCCCGACCAACGAAGCACCAACAAACCCTGGACCCCTCCAGAATGCAGCAGCCCCACCCCGCGCCAGAAAAGACGGAGACTGCTGCCATCAAACAACCAAAACGCTAAAACCGAAGGAGCAAGAAAACTCAGCGAACCGACCCCCAGAGACAAAGGCCCAAAGGAAAGAGCCGACGAAAAAACACACCGGAACCGAAGGGGCACTACCAACCGAGGAGAAGACAGAGCACGCTGACCAGAGACCAGGATGGTGCAAGCGGCGCACGAACAGGCCGGAGGTGAAATGACGCACAAGACAGCTGACTAACGGTGCAGAAGCAACACCAAGACCGAAAGCAAGCTGAAGCGGCTCCGCCTGCGCCGCATGAAAAGAGGCGACAGTATGTGGCAAGACGACGGCCCCCAACCCCCACTAGAAAACCAAGCCGAGAGTAAACCAAGCTAACAAGAGGAACCACCTAAGAAGGGACAGGAAAAGGAAGGACCGCCAAAATACCCCATACTGCCGCCAAGAGAAGCACGCAGGTGGGACACCTACCACGAAGCCACCCGACCACCAACCGGAGGCGAGACCACGAGGCAGAACATAAGCAGCCCCGACAAGGCCCCCCCGAGCCCAGGAAAAAGGCGGAGCCGCGAGAAGAACTCGGGCGCGACCACCGAAACCCAGGCGGCACAAGGAGATGGAACGTCTGCCGAACAGAAAAACTCCCCGAAGCATGCAAGCCCGCCAGGAGTTCAGAAACGACGGGTCCGACGCGAGACATCGCAAGAACCCCCCCCCCCAAAAAAAAACAACAACAACAACCGGCAGGGCAAGCTAGGAAAACCAAAGAAGGCGGAAGGGTCGCCGCCAGAACAGGACCCAAACCAAGGGGCACGAACAACTGCAACAAACCGAGACAAAGAAGCACATCACAGGACACAGGCTGACCAACGCCTAAGAACACACGCAGAACATCCCTGCTGCAGAGGAGGCAGGAAGAAAGAGCAGAAGCACAAAAAAAAAAAAAAAAAAAAAAACAGGAGAACAACCAGGGGTGGACAATCAGGCAGGGACAAAAACCCCACGCAATCCCCAGGCACAAAACGGCAGCAAAGTGCCACTCCACAACCGGACACAGGAACAAGGACACGCCACCGTGAAACACGGTACCAATGCACACGTGCAGCAGCAGCAACAGGCACCACTGCAACATGCAACACGTAAATAGCAACTCCCCTCTGCAAAGGCAGAGAACGGAGCAGGCAGACCCCAGACAGGGCCAACGGAGACACGACAAAACCCTGCAGGCCCAGAAACCTGCACCAGGCGACCGACGGCGGAGAAACCCCGCTCGATACCTGCTGGATGAGGTACTGGGAGCTCTTTTACACCTCAAGCCCGGCCCAAGGTCAGGCCAGACCGGCCAGAGGATGGCCCACCAGGCAGCTGCAAGGAGCAGTCCACCGGCCCACATACCCCCACAACCAGGACGGGCCGGAACTGCCATACGAAAACAGGCCAGGGCGCCCTGGAAGTCCACGGACGAACCAGCAAGAAGGCTTATGCTCGCAAGTAGGTCGTGTAACAAGCACAGACCACTGATGGTAATACAGTGTTCCCCAAAAGTGCCAAGAGCACCACTGCACTCCACTGGTACTATCCCGCCAGTTCTACCAGATAGGCGGGACCCAAGAGCCAGAGCTCAAATCCTGCAAGCACAGCCAGGAGCCTCACCAGGTGAGTACAGAACCAACCCTACAACCCCCACACCTCACAACATTGAAAAAGGAGGGTCCCCTGAATGACTCCAGCATGGGTTGGACATGCACATGAGGGGGACAGGAAGGGGTGATAAAGGGACAGTCACTGGTGTGCGAACGGTCTCAGTCGTACAAAAATATACCTAAATAAAGACAGGTATATAAACACCGCCGCATCCAGCGCCTGGCCAAAAGACGCCAGACCGCAGAAACTCACCTGGCGAATGGTGGCTCGAACTTGACACGACTCAACCGTGCCCAGAAGAACTTGGGAGCACCGCCAGGTGAAGACGCCAGAGCCGGACCCTGCCGGACCCGCAGGAGAACAGGGAGAGGCGAAGGAGGCGGTCCACACCCATGACACAGGGAAAACCGCGGTGTCCTCCCCACAACTGGGAACCAGGACACCCCCGGCGCGAAGGGGCACATACCGCAGCCAGGGAGAAGAACGAGAGGCGAAGCACTGTAGCAAAAAAGGGCGCAAAAAACCCCAGCACTGAACCACCGCCCAGACCAAAACAAACTCCACGGCGCATGCGCATAACACGCTGGCCGAACCGCACACCCTCCCTGCGGGAAGGCGCCAGCCAGGACTATTGCACGAGAAAAGGAGCCAAAAGAGGAAGCAGGAACAATAAAACCGGCCAAAGAAGCAAAGAGCCCAAAAAAAAAAAAAAAGGAACCCAAACGGGCGACAAGTAGCCCAACCGGGTGACAAGTAGCCCAACAGGGCGACAAGCAGCCCAACAGGGCGACA